AACAGTTTCGCATTTCGCAATATCAGCCTGTATAAATCTGATATTATGTTAACAAATTTTTGTTTCTACAAATTACAGTACATATGCTAGATTTAGACTTACAAATGCATAAAACCTGTAGTCTTAAAACAAAATTCAACAAATCACCATGACATATTACATTGAAGCTGTCAGATTAGTATAATTTGTATCTCACTTTCAGGTAAAGGCAGTTTCGGCCAAGTAGTAAAAGCGTTTGATCATGAAGAACAAACGCAAGTGGCAATAAAAATTATCAAGAATAAAAAACCTTTTCTAAATCAAGCGCAAATCGAAGTGAGGCTATTGGAAATGATGAACAGGGCGGATACCGAGAATAAATATTATATAGGTCTGTGTCTGTCGGAACATTGCCGGCCTACACTTCTAATAGGTATAGTACCTTAAACAAAATTATATTACTACAAATTTTTCATTTACAGTTAAGCTGAAAAGGCATTTTATGTGGCGGAATCACTTATGTCTGGTATTCGAACTGTTATCGTATAATCTATATGATCTACTTAGAAATACGAATTTTCGAGGAGTGTCGTTGAACTTAACAAGAAAGTTTGCACAGCAACTGTGTACTGCCCTTTTGTTCCTGTCTACACCGGAATTGAACATCATTCACTGTGATCTGAAACCCGAAAACATACTTTTGTGCAATCCCAAACGAAGTGCGATAAAAATAGTGGACTTCGGTAGCTCGTGTCAGCTTGGGCAAAGAGTGAGTGTTTGACGCGATTCCAGCAGTGCCTTGACGGCCACAAATTAATGCTTACTCTTTTTCCACACACAATTTTAGATATACCAGTATATTCAATCCAGGTTTTACCGATCTCCTGAAGTCTTGTTAGGAATACCTTACGACCTTGCAATAGACATGTGGAGTCTAGGATGTATTTTAGTTGAAATGCATACAGGAGAACCTTTGTTCAGTGGGGCCAATGAGGTAAACAGAATTATATTTATTTGTTACTTTCTTATTATACAGTGAAGTATTTTTGAACAATCTAACTAGTTCCAGAACCTTCTAGCATTTAGGAATATATTGATTCAATTTGTGTACATTGTGTAAACTGATATAGAAATAACAAAAGATAAGATATAGAAATATTTTTTGTAAGCATTGATTATGGTATATTTGTTTATTATAGCATTTTAATTGTATTGATAAGGCTATCTGTTATATCATTTTTTCATTTTTCACTATATGATGAGACAAGTTCCAGTACAAATTAATGAGTGCCTATTGATAATTTCAGTAACAATACCAAAAACAACAAGTTAAGATAAACAAAACATTAGTCATAGAAGTTTCTGCTGTTTTTCTCTGAATTTGCT